CACCCTGCTCTGATTGGGTCAGGTTCACAGCTGGACAACAACTATTTGCTTGGTCCCAGAACAGAACCTGGTATGTTTGTAAACCTCAAAGGCTACAACTCCCACAAAGCATGTGTACCATGGACTTCCATTTCTTTCAATGTCTAACTAATATGCTTTTGCATTGCCTTCAATTTTGTATGTAATAATTTTACATATAAATCTTGGCAAATTTTAAACCTACTGCAAAATTTGCAAGTTCAATGTACTCGGAAAAGTCCTTTGATTGACAAGAGTCCACTTTGGGAGGTTTATAAATAAGATTTTCTCAAGTACATACAAAGTGAAAATCAAGAGCATACTGCAAAGTCCCATACTTCATTTAAGTCACCAAACTGTGATAAATCTTTGATAACATGAGTGATTAAAGACCAGAGATTTGTTTCCACTTTGACGAGCCATTAAACATCTCCCAGTTTTCTATGATGCATTGATTTTTTTACATACTTGACTGATCTAAAATGGGAGCCAAAAAAAGAGAAAATTCATCCAAAGAAGGAAAAAATCCTTCTACAAACACATCAGTAAAAGATAAAAGGTGACAAGGTAATACATACTTTATTTTGAGTGTAATCTAGCTGGCGACTAATTACACTTCAGCCTAGCACAAACTGTGTTCATTACAAGCCATTCCTGCACAAACATTTAACTGAATCAAGTTACCCATTTTTTTTTAAAAATGAGCACTATTTGTTGACTTTTAAAAACATTGATTATGACTTAAAAAAGAAGTGCCTGATACAAGTGCCACCCAAAAATGGGGCCGCGAACTTAGGACCAAAACTGAGCAAGAAGAAATGGCCAAATTTCACAGGTCAATTGCATTATCATGATGAAAGAATTTTTGTTTTTAAAATTTTTCAACTCTGAAATTAATTGAACACTTTTAAATAATCTTATCATGCAGTAGATGAACATGATACCTGTATCTTTAATTTAGCAAGCAAAGACAAAAGTCTGGGATTTTTAGCGATTAAGTGCCAACGACAACCATTTTTGTGAGGTTTTACAGCAATTATTCCTGGCACAAGAAAGGTTATTGATTTTCCTCAAAAAAAAAAGAAATTGTTTTGTTACCCTAAAAGAAAAAGGCAAGATCACAAGTTCACTTTAAACAAGTTGACACAGTGGCGACAAACGCGATAATAAATCTTTTAGCATGTCACATTTTGAACTTAATAATCAATACACGTCTCTCTGGTACTCCAATATTTCCGATTTCACAAATATTCCTAATGCTATCACACTTCTTCTAAAGAACGGGCTACACTCTGTCTTATAAATCTATAGCATTTCTGAGGCTGATAATTTCTGGAAGTGCAACTAAAACTTTTCTTTTCCACAATGATTACAAATTTCTGTGTTTACTCGACAATTGTATTCCTATCTACAGATAACTCCTTCTTTATTTTATATAAACATAACTGTTTACACTTTCTTCTGACACCCAATCTATCAATTGTTTTATTGCTTTAGAATGTACACCTGATCATCTTAAAATTTTGGTGGAAACAAGATCTAAACCAGATTCTGCAACCAGCAATGGCTGCTCCATGGAACCAATAAAACTTGTCTTACAAGAGATTCCAGAAAGGAATAAATATGCCATTTGATATATGAAGGCATAGTTTACAGAGGCAGACTAAAACAATCATTGCTTATTCTCTTCTATTTCAAAGACGACCCAAGAAATAAACAAGTACTTATGGAATAATCAGTAGAAATATTAATATGGGAGCCTGCATGAATGTAGCTGAAGTAGACTGCTATAAATGTGCCATTAAACCTGTACCTGTATCTTTAAATATATGTTATTGTATGTAGAAATAGCTTCGCTTTTTGATGTCCTTTGATAAATGGAAACTATAATCCTTCATATTTCCCCTATCTCCTTCTTTGTTTTGGACAGTGTCCTATAGCTTAGAAACAAATATGGACTACTCCCCAACACAAACACTGGCTCTAGAGACCAGTATACATGTCTCTGTTTAGCCATTATACAACTGCCTATCATGTTCTTGACCAAGATAGGTGTCTATTTGCCTCAAATCCAAGGATTATGGACCCGATAAAGAGATTTACCAGTATTACTCAGTATTTCAAATACAGCCGTTCTGATAACATTGTCATCACCTGAAAAATATTACACCTACCAGGAAAATTTATCAGGTGTTCATATCATTCAATTAAGGAATAATTATGATAATTAGAATCTTTGAGGTTAATTCATATGCATTCATTTGCATGTAAAGTTGTCTTTCATCTTCCATGAAGTAATGAATAAATCTGGAATAAAAACAGATTTTTATTTTCATGGGCCTGTATTTTAAGAGAAAGAAAGAAGGCAACAAGTCTTTACAGCACAGTAAATGACCGATTTTTAAGTCATGAAATAAAATATTATCAAGCCCACCTTTGACAAAATAAAAACATTTCCTCGACAGACCAAACAATGGCAGAGGGCCCGAGGTCAGAGTAGATATCTGATAAACTCAGTGGCCAAGACAAAAAAGTCTACACACAGCATCCCACCAAAAAATTTGTTTTGTCCTATTTTTTTAAACAGTTATAAATGTAAACTTAAATGCTATGGGCACTTGCGAGATACCAGTAATGGATATTAAATCAATTTTCCCACTTTAGAAATACCAGCAGTGGATTTATTTACATTTTATGTACATGGGGAGAATTTTTTTCTTTCAACGGAAATCTCTGTTTATTCCTCCATTTAAAAATATACATTCAATAATTAGTGTTCAGAGAAAACTAATTCCTCTTACACTGGGATAAATAAACATTGTGATTCCTGTTAAAGGTGTCATTTTCTAATCTTTTAAACATGGAATCAGACTATTTAGAATTTCTTATGCTCTTAAATGATAAGGTAAATTTATTTGCTCTGAGTGGTAAGAATCTTAATTTGATATAAATTCTCTGCCTTAGAAAGTGGAATTGGCTTTCTATTGACACAGAGGATCCCACACAATGGGACTGAACCAACAGAGACTATTTTTTCACTGATGTTATACCTTCATTAGGTAATCAGTGCTGTTCACCTGACTGATTGTGACAATAGAATTATGTAAGATCACAGCTAACCTGGCAATACAATGATTGATAATGCACAGGAATTTTAACCCCTAGCCTAAAGTCACCTTTGAACAAGTATCTACAAAAAGTTATTATAGATTCTGAATGCTGACCCACTAAACTTTATATTAAACATTCTTTAATAATTTTAATTTCTGTTAATGGCTTAATTTCAGTGTGTATTGATCTAGCACATATGAACCGGAATTTTTTGTTATTTTTTTTCAAATAGTTTGCGATGAGATCAATTATAGTTTTATAAGCCTCTGATCTTATCTGAGTGTTGGGAAATTGTCATTTCCACATAAATCTTCAATTTCACTAGGAATAAATATATATCAGATTGATTTTATGGGAGATAAAATTTAATCTTTGGAAAGAGTAATTATACTGGTCTACTGGTTCAATTCTAGAAGAACTGAATTATAGGGCCTGCATTCCATTACAGGGTAGTTTTTGACAGTTAGTATTAAATTGTATTGATCTTTCTGATCCTTCAGGGTTATGAAAATGTTTGTTGTCAATGAAAGAATTCATTCACTGATTATATCATAATTTTTTCTGTTTAGTTAAAGAAAGAGTTTTTTGTTGGATACAGGTAATCTTTTTACTGAAAAAGGATGAATTGGTAAACTTGAATTTTAAATGCGCTCCAAAAATTTCTCTGCTAATTTTTAACAAATATCAAAGAAAAAAAAAACTTCCCTGCAGGGTTAAAATAAAAAAATTCTAGTCAAAATAAAATTAATAATTTTCTTTATTTATTTTCTTTTCATCAATTTTTTTAATTAAGGGCCACTTTAAAAATAAAACTATAATAGTTAGATAATTTCCTGTTAAGTTCATTTAATTTAATTCTTTGGGTAAAACAGATGGAACGAATATTAGATCTTTTATCCTTTTCATTAATGAACTCAGTCTTAGACTTCACTCAAAAGATAAAAGGAATTTTTAATGCTGTTTTCGGAGAAATCAATACAATTATAGTATTGATTGGTCCCTTGTGCTGTCTAGTCCTCAATCTTCCAAATGTATGAACGCAAAAAACTATGACTAAAATGGCTGATCAAATCTTTCATTATCTCGACAGAAAGAAAACAATTTAAACTAAAGGCAAATTATGCTGAAGATGTAGCAATATTTAGGAATTGTCTCTATAAACACTTAAAATCACTGACTTTAACTATCACACTTCAAATTTATGAATTTTCAAAATTAAATTTACAGATGTTTTTTAAATTCTTATTTCTTTGGGGTCTTTTTTTTTTTTTTTTTGGTTGTTGTTGGTTTTCTTTTTTTGGGGGGGGGGGTTGTTTGTTTCTTTTCTTTCTTCTTATTTTTCCTTTTCTTTTTTGTTTTTGTTTGTTTGTTTTTTGGTTGGGTAGGGTTTTGTAAAGTACATTTTTCTCAACCTTTAATCTGAATCAATTTTGCTTGAAAAAAAATCCAAATATCTCATTTCAATTATTTAATCGGAATACTTCTATTAAATATATTATATATCTGTTCTTACATGCACTAAAAATTAAAGTGCACAATTGTTATTGTTCCCTGAATATTAAAATCTGATCTTACAACCCTGTGTTTATAAAATTTTACAATACTGTAGTCTTAGATGACAGTCACACCTCAAATATACACCACCAAACCACGCAAATTTTTGGCAGATTTATGATCAAGAATTTATTATTTAAACATTTCAGCCATATTTATTTAATTATATGCACTTTTTTCAAAATTATATACATTGTTATTTTAAGAAAGAAATTTTTTTCTCTTTATAAAATAGCAACTTTTTCAGATAATAGCCTATATTAATTAAATTAAACTGCAACCCGGACTATGTACATCATCAATAAAACAGAACTTACCGAGTTCTAGAGCATGAACTTGATAAAATCCCATCCACAACAGACAAATTATCCATTGTCCAGTCTCCCAACTCACTTTTAATTTCACCCAATTCTGAGAGTTCCCCATGGTTCAAGAATTTTTTTATGTTTTCATTAGGTTCCAGAAGATGTAAACACAAGTTTAGCACCCCATGTACTGGAATGTCAGACTGACTGCAAAAAAATCTCCCTCTTTATTTTATCAATGGTCCGCCTTTTTCTCTCCTCTCCAACTAAGATTAAAGTGTTTTGTTTACAAAACCATGTGGTCCACTCCTAATCCAACACCTTTAATCAGTCAGAAGCGCTTCCTCAAATACACTAAAATCAATATCCATTCAAAAACTGTGTCAGGATAGGTATTTAAGCATGGTTTGTCCTATACCCACATGGAAATTCTTAATATTCCTAAATTATTACAGTCCAGATCCTGTCATATCCCAATGGCTCCAGAGCCTGACAAAGCAGCATGCTTCCATTGCCCTTACTATCAACATACAGTGATATTTAGTTCATTATGAGAAATCGGGATCAATCCATTCACAGACAGAGGGGGTGGTAGGATGGTCCGTTAGCCTTGTGTACAGTGTTGAGGCCTCAGGTTAGGTTTGTTGTGGGGTAAGTTGTTATATCTGCCAATATCAATTACACATAATCATTGATGTCATTATAACTCTATTAGATATGATTGAATTATGGTAATAAAAATTCAAGAACATCAAAAGCAAGTTTCACACATTTCTGGACAGGTAATTTGTGAGGTAGCATAACAGCTGTTAAATGAACACTTCGATGAAATTAATACATATGTTCAGGTGTAAAACAACTTCAGACAGTCTTGTTTCTCTGTCTTTTATATTTTCACTGAAATTAAAAAAAAAAATATATTGATCATAAGAAAGATGAATGCACTCACATTATAATATACCCTATTTCAGCTACTAGCTGAGCTGATGCATTACCATAACAATATTTTCACCTGATGCTATAGATAAGAAGACAGTGAAAGCTGCTTTGTGCACATATGGCACACTTCAAAAAAAAAAAAAAAAATCAATGATATACTGGAAATACAGAGAAGGTATGGAGCAGCTTGCAATCTTCACAAGATCTCTAGACATTTAGAACTACTTCCCAATGGTTGACCTTTCCACCTGAACATGTAAATTGATTTGTAGAGGAGAAAATTAACTTTAATGCCCCAGTAAATAAACTGTCAACAGTGTCCTATGGAGAATGGCCCTTTTTCTTATATTCAAATAACAGTCAGTTTTTCAAGACTAAATAATTTATTATATTTTCCCAGAGGGTTCTGAAGCCTTTTCTGGAAATATATACCACATGCAAAAAGTAAAAATAAAATACATTCATTGAATCAGAACTATTTAGAATATCATTTGCCATATACATTTATCTTTCATTTTTTGCCTTTATCCAATTAAGTTACATAAAGTAAAATTTATGATTTTAAATATTTTTTTTAAGCTCAATCACTTCAGCTATTAATTACAATAAATAAAAATCACAATTTTGAAATAAAAAAAAAAAACAAACAAACAAACAAAACAAAGAAAAAACTTAGCTTATACTTTTGTATTATCCCCCTCCTCTGATTTATAATTAGAAATAAAAAAGTATAAAGTCTTTGTGACACAAAACCTTAATCTGTTAAAAATTGATGTGAATTGATCAGCCAATGAAATTTCTAAAATGACAGCCCCACCATCAACCTCCCATTCTACTTTGTCCTCATTAATGTTACAATTCACTATCAGGACTCAACTCCTCCATAAAAAAGAAAAATCTCCAGTACATCCAAATTTACAGATCAATGTAATATCTCTCTATGAAATAATATCTTGCAATATATCTTATTCTAAGCTATTTTAAAATGAAGTTCTTATCTTTTAGAAATCTGTATTTTAATTTTGACTATATTTTTCCTCTCTAAAGAATAAAGTAGTTAGATCTTGTTGTAAACAAACCATCAGCTTTAACTGTAAATAGACATATCAGCTGTAACTGACAGTGTGATTTTTGTCCTGGAGGGTGAAATTTATGGCCAGATTGCTTCACTTTCAGTGTGTATCCAGATCTGACATGTCATAATGCTCTCACTTTGCGACCCACTTACATATCTTCATGCCCTGGGGTTCAGCTCATCACAGGAATATCAACACCCAACCCAGGAGCTGCATGTGTAGATTGTAACCTGTGATTAAAATTGCAGTCCTAACCTTGAATTCATGTAACAGCAAGTGGAGAAACCAAAGGGGGAATAACTTTGTAATATGTTAAGAAGAAGGCCCATTTCATTGCATGTAATAAATATTCATGTTAAAAAGTCTGTAACATATCACACCAAAAATAGTGATATAAAGGGCAATAACTCTGTAGTATGATAAGTCATGAGAGGCCCTTTCACTACATGTAGATAAGAATGGATTCATGATGAAAGGGGGTACAACTCCGTAACATTATAATCCAGAAATGTGATTCGAAGGGCAATAATTCTCATTTCTGTAATAACTTTAGTATACATGTAATACATACATGTATTGATGTGTATAATATTTAGGGCTTTATCTCTGTACATGTAAGCTAAGAGATTGAATATGGTGGCAGAACAATGGCAAATTATCTGACTTACTCAACATAATGCTAAATAATGAGATGATATTGCCATGTTTTGTTTGTGTGCTTGTTGTTGTTCCAAAAAACTTTCCTCTTGTGTGGCCATCCTTGCACCTTCAATACTGTAATAAGAAGTTAATTATATGTGTCAGTCATAAGACAAAATTCCCTACCATCTCACCCCATATGCAAACTATTGATATTCCCTAGTAAGTAAATAAATACAGGAACAAATCATTGTTTCATGTTGAATAACTCCCATTTTTAAACAAAAGAAATAAACAAGAGGTTTTTTAAGGTCTCATCTGAATGACCTGTGACTTTCACTTCAAAGTGATGAGCACTTGGCGAAGGAATAATTGCTACCTATATTTAATCGACCTAGGTCAGTCGCGGCCGTGATTTGAACACACAACCTTCTGATCATGGAGCGAGTGCTCTACCGACTGAGCTGCCATGACGGTCATAAATTTAGAGTCATTTGCCTAGTGTTGTGGTCCTTAAATTTGGGACTTGCGTCACTGAAGGCCTTGGCTCAAATCATGAACAATCCTACCAACATTATACATTTATTGACTGGGTTAGAGAGCAACATGCATTTTGTTGGACCCAAAGCCTAACTGTCTGCCTGAGGCCATTAGGCTTGAATTTGGTTTTAGAGTAAGGCAAAACATATTCTGCCGTCAATAAATGTGTTGTTATACCTTAATTTTACTAACTTTTTATTTTGACATACACTGTATCTAGCACTGGCTTTCATGTTTGCAATAATTGATATAAATTTCATTTACCCACACTGCAGATTTAACTCAATTCCATATCTGTTGAACATCAATGTGTGCAAATAAAATACATGTATAGCTGATCCCATGCACCTACAGTGTGAAGTAAAAAACTTCACAGTGGTCCAATATCTCATCGACAGGTCCAACATCTCACTCAGCGATCTAACATTTTTTTTTCTGACCACTCAGTAAAACATTGGAAATGTTACACTTTTTTCAGTATGGATTCTTATAGGAAAAAATTTTGAAGGTATAACAATAAATTTTCATTAATGTCTAATACAAATTTATTTACATGAACCTAAATCTGACCAGAATCATAATCTCTCAATGTAGTTTGAATTAAGATACTGATTAAACCTTATATATTCAATCAAAGAGTTCACTGACATCACGGACCAACCACAGTTGAACTTCAGTATTTCAAACACTGAAATCCTGAATACCATGGATATGTCAAGGTGTGTTGGGAAGTCCTAGCCACTCTTTCTTTATGCATTTTAATTTCAATACTTTGAACCCTCAGGTTTTGCAGCTCTCGGTTTTTTTTCTTTTTTGCTATAAAGTTCAAGATTATAAAGTTTTACTTTATTTTACTGAATGTATTGCATATTGAGAATTATTGACAATATTTTTGTCTGCAAATGGTGGTTTTGTGCAAAGAATCATACATAGCCTCTCTTCATATCTATGTAGTCTCTGTCAAGTTTGAAGGGTGTATCCATGATACTGAAGGGGCAACATGGACACAGATACCTTGATCCACAGTCTCTAACAAACTAGGACTGAAATGTTCATATTTGTCTTTAAAATACTATAAAATGAAACTATGTGATACTTTTTCTCATATTTATGCTTTGATAATTGACATAAAATAATTTTCATAAAATTTGAATAGATTTAATATTGAAAAGAAAAATCTTATCAAATTAAAAAGCATAGGAAAATCTCTGTAGAACCATAAAGCTAATCTCCTTCAATCTTCAAATAAAAATTCTCCTCAATACATATGAACTGAAGTGATATTACAATAATCCATCCTGTATACAAAGAAAATAAAGAACCAAGATCAAAGGTAACTCTTCATAGAGAAACAAACTGTGAACAGCCATGTTATTCTGGAGGTTGAAGTCCATGACACAAACATCAGAAGACCCTAATAACTATGTAGAACAAACAAACCACTGGTCTTTAAGTTTTTGTCATTACTTTTTGAAGACTGCAGGCAACACAAGGCCTCTCATCAAAGGTCTTGTTTCTCTGTCAGAAAACAGATGACCTCATTTGACCCATGTGTGTACCTTTATACAGACATGGGCAGTCTCCCTAACTGTCGTCTACTGACTACCCCCAGAGGGGAGACTGTATATAACACTATCCGACCAATCTAAGAGAATCCGAGATGGACACTATTAATATCAGTAATAAAAAGGGCATTGACTCATTGACCAATTATGGATCAAATGAAATAAAAACAAAACCCCTGTGAACAATGTCACTTCATTATAACAGTCAGATATAACTAGTTTCTTCTCTATATACCTCACATTTGAAAAGGCAACAGCATTGGTTCTTTGACACAGCCTAAGACAAAAGATGACTTCCTGAAATTGGCTAAAGCATCCTGCAAACTAAAACTGATATCCTAGACTATTTTTTTTTTTACAAGCTAAGGAATATTTTTGAGAAAAAAAGTATTTGACCTTCTAAACAATGTTAAACAAATCCAAAAGCTTGCCCTGAATAAATTGTGAAAAACAGAAACAATCCAATAATATTCAATATTCCCTATACACTCTCCATCTCTGGAGGATGTATCCCTTGGACTGAGGTAAACTAGGCCTTACACATCCTTATTCTGCCATCACTGTTTGTGGACAAGTTTGTCACATTCTGTTCCCACTACAAACATTCACTTTTTACCACACATTTGAAGATAAAAAATCACTTACACTTAATTCTTGTTTGGACCAACAGGAGTCTTAGTCTCAGATAAAGTGCAAAGAGAGGTCTCCGCAGCATACCCCCGCTACCCTGTATCCCTTAATCCTCATCTTGTTAACTTATACAAGAGATGACATCAAGGCATTATTTATTTCTCTGAAGTTCAAAGGAAAAAATAAAGCCAGCTTATGAATCTTTAGTAAGTATTTGTGGCTGATTTAAAATTGGCCTAAATAAGTCAAGAATTTGTTACATATTTC